TTTTTTTTTTTAATTTTTCAAGAGCCTAAAATGATGACTTGCCTTTTGGAGACATTAAAGTAGTTTGCGATGTTAAGGCTAAGGAGGTTAAGCTTTCCGTTGGCCGTGTGTGAGTGGGTTTACGGGAGAGTGACGGATCGTTTCGGGCGTAGATCATCTCTTCAACTGCTTGCTGTTAAGTCTGGAAAAGATCGGAGTCGTGATCACAGAAGCCAGACCTCCACTTTCCAGTGACAGAGGGAGATTACCGAGGCATTTTAGTGCCAAGGCGGGTCAAATGATAATTGCTTCTAATTGGCATCCCCACAAGCTCCTTAATTATTTATCTGCAGCTGTCACTCAAAGAGCAAAATTCTTCCTACCTTTGGAATACTGGTTTTCTTTCCACATCGTTATTCTCGTAAGCACAAGCCAAAGCGTGAAATCAGCAACAGCAAAGATATTTACAGGAAGCGTTTGCAAAGTATCTTTTAATTATTTTTAAAGCGTGTGTCGTCTTAAAAAAATGAGATCTGAAAAACAGAAGAAGCCTTGTGAAAGATGAAACCAGTTGAGATGGGGTGGGACTGAGGGAGACAGTTAATTCAGAAATAAGATCCAGAAGTGAGAAGGTGAGGTAATAAGAACCTGGTGTGTGCAACATTTCTAAAATGAAAGAGCAAATAACAGGAACCTGGAGAATTCGAGAACATAAAGAAGCATAGTATCCACGAATTATGAAGAGAAACATGCACAAACTAGAAAGCATCATAAAAGTTATAAGTGATAATTGATTGAACTTTCAGTATAAAATACCTTTTCATTAGTAAACTCAAGATTGATTGCAGCCCCTATAGAGATTTAAGCTTAGCTTGAAGACGGGGGGATACTCACCTACAGTTTCATTTTCAAACTAAAACATTTACCTAGTAGTTGATGTAATTTTAATTTCCCTGTCAGTGCCGTATTTAATTTGGAGCATTCTTTTGGAAGATTGGTATACAAAACATTACATTTTTTTTTCTGTTGTGAGATATGTCTAATTGAAGTTTTGAGATAGTAAGATGACTTCTGTTTATTTTGAAGATTGCATCTAGGGACAACAGTTTGACAGGTGATGACCTTATATCTGGTTGATAGTGGTGCTAAACATGGCTTTTATTTTAAAATTGCTTTGCTTTGTTTAGTGGGTCTGACGAGGAGGGTGCAAGAAGGATGCTATTAGAGATTAGCTGATTTTCAAGAAACATTTTTGAATGGCACCAGGAAGTACTAATTTCTAACTTCTCATTCTGTCTGCCTGTAGTTTTTTCACTGCAAGACTTAAAAGTTGAGGGATGTTTTTGCCAATGGATTTGGTGTCTGGATTACTTGTTAAAAAAAAAAAGGCATGGAAAGAGATATAAGGGCTGAAAACAAAGTATGTGAAGAGAAAAGTAAGAATTAAGAATAAAATAATATAGACCTGAGCTGTGCAGTCACTCAATATTTAATGGGTGCTATGAAGTACCCAGAAAAAACCATTGTTATGTTAATGCAGCACCTGATGTACTGTTCCTGTTTCACAGGCAAAGTACTAGCTCTGTGATTAGATCGAATTCCCCAACAACAACATCTCAGATTATGGCAAGAAAGAAAAGGAGAGGGGTATGTGATTTTTTTTTTCTTTTTAGTTCATGTGATTCAGACTAATGTATAACAGTGGTGTTCTTCCATTAAGAGTAATTTTATCATTTGTGTATTCATAAATTTTTGTTGTTGTTTTGCTTTCTTTGGGATAGATAATAGAGAAAAGGCGTCGAGATCGGATAAATAACAGTTTATCGGAGTTGAGACGACTGGTGCCAACTGCTTTTGAGAAACAAGTAAGCAACCCTCACCCCTGACCACCCCACCAAAAGACTCAGAAAATCTGATTCTCTCATCTGGGAATGTGGGTTCTTGTTAAAGCTCATTAAAATAATGGTGTATGTGCCCTGATCTGGCACAGAGCAGCTATTTCAATAAAATGCTTTGTTGTGGCAAAACTATTAAAAACATAATCCATCATGAAGTTGAAAAACATTTCCATTCTTCAGCTTATTTTCCCTTAAGGGTAACAGTGTTCATGCTTTCTCTGTTCTTTCTATGAAGACCAGTAGTGGTTTTGTTCAAAACCCAGCTGTATGTCGTACTCTTTAAATACACATACACATACACACACACACACACACACACACACACATCACAAAATTTCACTTTTTTGTAAACTGCTAAAAAAAAAGAAGCTCTTTTTATTTTAAAAATAATAAAAGTCCAGGAAGTAACATTTCTAGCTCTAGTTCCTGAATGGTAATACTAATAAAATTTATTTACCAAATCACTTGGTTTCATTTTTAATCCCTAGATTAATAGAGTGGTGTTCTATTTGGGGCATCTCTTTGGAAGTTTGATAAAAATAAAACTAGCCAACAATTCCCTCTTTCAGAATTCAAGTATTCCTTTACTAAAAAAAAAAAAAAAATTTTTTTTTTTTTTTGGCATACTTAGAAAAGGAGGAAGCCAATGTTTAAATCTTCCTTTGTTTTCTTGGAAAAGTTTTATATCTCTTGCCACAATGGCTAATGGCACAGATTTCTAAGAGCATCTTTCAAAGAATATGGCATCATACACTGTTGAAAATACTTTCAATTTAATTCAAATAGCATATAAGACAGCAGTTGTTTGTTTATGTCATTTTGTTGTTTACTTCATGAACTACAAACATTATACAGCAAGCCCTACAAAAGCCCTTGGCAATTATCCAGAAACTGCAATTTTGTTTTTACTTTCACTGAAACTCCTGTACATCTTGATGGGAAAAGTGAATATTGACAAAAGTGCAAGATGTAACAGGCTCTTGATTATACATTTGTGAGAGGAAAAAAAAGATACCTATATGCTGAAACCGACCTTGGTAAGCTAAATGTAACGTGGAAATTGTAGTTTTGATTAGTAACATTTTCAATGACAATAGGCTGAAAATGAAAACATCAGTAATCACTGTTTTCACTTTGGGTACTGAAATGTCTGCAGTTATTTGGTGAGTATTTTTCCCATCAGTTTGTTAGATTTTTTTTTTTCTTAAATGTCGACTTAAACCTTAAAAGCTAACCTCAGTTGTTTGGCAGTTAGTTACCATAAACACAGGCTTTCCCATTTGCCAGGCTTGGCTACCAACCCTGGCGAGCTGGCCCTGTTACGGTGTGATTAGAAGAGTGTTCTTTCTAGCAGTTTCAATGACTCTGGCACTCTCACCATGTACAGGGTGCTGATAATTTTCACAAAAAAGTAGAGCATAGGAACTTGAAGAAAACTTCAGTTTCCTTTTGAGAAAGACACATTGATTTAATTATTTAGTTTTTCCAGGAAATTAGAAGCTACCCAGAGTCCTCTGAGGCAGTTCAAGGTGGCACATTTGTATTTTGGTTGGTTTCTAGAGGTTGCCTTATTTTGAAAAGTAGAACGTATAAATATATTCCCAAGGCATTTTATTAAGAACTGTTCTAAAGGGTTCAAATAATTTTTAAGCATTTCTGATGCTTACTAGGTAGGAGTAAATTATGCTTTCTTGTTTATGAACTTGGAATTCACAGTGACACCTGCTGGTAATTTTTGGAAAAAAAAAAAACCAAAAAACCTTAAGTCTTCCCTTTTTTGATTTTGGTTCTCCTTACCAGGGGTGTATCTTAAAGGCTTACTAGGATTTTTTATTTTTGAAAAATCTAATTTTCTAAGATCCTATTTCCTTAACCTTCAGAGTTGGATTCAGCTGATCTAGACTGTTGAATGTCCCCCAATATAGGGTAGAGATTAGATACAGGATTTGACATTTTTGCAGTGTAATAGTTTTAGTGGAGTGATCTTTGGAGTATAGTTTAATCATATGATTAAAAAATTATTTCTTATGCCTTTTAGTCTTTAAATGATAAATTGGCAAATATCTGTCATTAGGTATGACATAATAATTATTGTTTGCATGTAAAGCTTGCAAAGAATTCAGATTTTTCTATGAAAAAAATTTAGACTTTTCTAGTGAGAAGAAAAATTGAAACTCCAGTGTAAAATGTTCCAAGTCAGTTTCCATAGGGCTTATAAGACTTCATGATTTGTTTATGCAGGGATCTGCAAAGTTAGAGAAAGCCGAAATACTGCAAATGACAGTAGATCATTTAAAGATGCTTCAGGCAACTGGGGGTAAAGGTAAGTAGGTGACTTCATTTTTACCCCCTTTCCGTCTTTCTCTTTTCATTCCCCTCCCCTAAGATTATAGGAAAGTCATAGTTGAACAGTTCTTTAACAAGCTGAGATAGGAGGTCCCAGATTAAAGCTGTAGAAATCAATGCTAATGGCAGGATTGAACTCGTGGGAAAGAACTTCTGGAACAAAAGAAGCACTTGACCCTGGGCTTGTGTTTGCTTTCATAATACTGTGGGAGTAAAGCTTCATTCACAGCAGCCTGGTCAGAGATTTGTTTGGGACCTCAGAAGCACATGCTGGAATCTGTACAGAAAGACAAAACAAACACACAAACATCCAAACATAAACAGGAGGTTAAAGGCAATCTTTTTCTCTTCTTCTTTCCCTTCCCCCAGACTCCTCCATTAGATCAAGACTGGGACTCAATACAGTACAACTATTTCAAAGGAATTGACTTAAGAATTATTTTCATTGTTTTCAGCTTTTGGTTGGTCTTGGGTTTGGACCAGACAGAACATTTGAAGTGTAGGTAGTAATTCTCTGGACTGGAAACTACTAATGGAGCAGTCATTCCTGCAGAGAGCAAACAGGAATAGGTGCCCCTGGCCCAGTGCCCTGGAGAGATATCTTCTGTACTAGAATCATCCAGAGGTCGGGGATGGACCCTCATGTTATATTGAAAATAGACGAGATCCTGAAAGCTGTAATAATTTATTCACATTTTATTATCCTTCTTCTCACATGTTACTGAGACTTGATTTTGCCATTTTGTATTGTTTTTAGCCTTCAAGCAAGCCTTTGCTATTCACCTTAACCAAGAGTGTTTTTGTTACTCAGTACATTTGACAACTGGGTTGGGAGAGGGTACCACCAGGGGCTAAGTGCTTCCCTCCATCCTGGAGGCTTCTCTGCTCAGCATTAGCTTTTTATCACATAGTATCACAGTTTGCCCTAGATCAGAGCAGAGGCAAAGCATTGGAGGGAAGTAGCTATTTACCAATTGGTATAGAAGTACTTCAGTACTTAACTCCAGTATAGCCATACTGCTGAAGCCCTTTATTTATTTTTTAATTTTTTTAAATATTTATTTTTGAGAGAGAGACAGAATGTGAGTAGGTTACGGGCAGAGAGAGAGGGAGACACAGAAGCAGAAGCAGGCTCCAGGCTCTGAGCTGTCAGCACAGAGCCTGATGCGGGGCTCGAACTCACAAGCTGTGAGATCATGACCTGAGCCGAAGTCAGATGCTCAACCGACTGAGCCACCCAGGTGCCCCTGAAGCCCTTTAGAACATCAGCCCTGGGGGTGCCTGGATGACTCAGTTGGTTAAGTGTCCAACTCTTGGTTTTGGCTTGGGTCCTGATCTCACAGTACATGGGTTCAAGCCCCACATTGGGCTCCTCACTGATGGTGTGGAAGCTGCCTGGGATTCTCTCTCTCCCTCTCTTTCTGCCCCTCCCCTGTTTGTTCGTTTGTTCTCTCTCTCTCTCTCTCTCTCTCTCTCTCTCTCAAAATAAGTGAACTTAAAAAACAAAACATCAGCACTGGCCTTCACAATCTTTTAGGTGGGAAGTAAACACTTTAAAGAGAAGCCCACCTTCTCTAGAAACCATCCTGAATGGGTATACAATTGTGATTTCTAATCATTAAAATGTAACCCTCAGAATAGGATGTAAAAGTTCTTACATAATAGAGGAGAACTGGATGAAATCGTAGAAGCCAGTGATCCAGCCCAACTTGGCTGCTGCTTGACCTTTAACCCAAGGCAGAAGTGCTCTGCAGTACTGTGAGGCCTACACTAGCACTCTGATCTCTAAAGCACCTCCAGCCCCATGATTTTGTCTCTGCACCTGCTACCTCAGATGTAGAAGACTGGTTGAGTTAGTGATGGTGTAGGAACAGCTTTTTGATTGCTCTGCCTCCCTTGGTGTTGTTCACCATAAGGCCAAAAATTCTTATCAGGGTTTCAAATATTTGGCATGAGCTATACTTCTAAAGAGTAATATTATTCTTATGCCTTATTATAAAAACTAAGTTCCATTCTTGGTTGCTATTCTTGGCTACCTGAACAGTCCTAAAATTCATCCCAGAATAGTTTATGAACAGACATTTCCAAGCAAGCTCCACACAAGTCGCCTGACTGCCAAGTCATTAGAGAGGTCATCCCATAGGAGAAAATGTGGGCCTTAAACAGGAGGGGCGGGCAATGTGATCTCACATCATCAAAGACTCACAACTGCTGTAGGGGCCTCCCAGTGGTGAAGGGCATAGACTCTGCAGTTGGGTTGCCTGGTTTCAAATCCTTGATCTGCCATATATTAGCTCTGTGACCCTAGGTAAACTACTCACCCTCGCTGAGCCCGTTTTCTCATCTGCAAAATGACAGCCATAGTGTCTACCTCACAAGGTTGTTGTGAGTTTATTCACTTAAAGCCGCATAACAGCGATGGCATGAAAGAAGTGGTGTGGAATGGCCCCGTGTGCTTGTATTATTGGCCCAATATCTATTCCCAGGAGACAGCTGTTTGTCGCCATTTCCCTCTGCATTCAGCAACATAATAGGAATTACACAATTGATACTCCTTAATATGCAACAGAGAACTCAGCCACGTATAACAACATACAGCTGGCAAACCACAACTTTCGATCACCTTGTACCCGCTCATGAAAATTCTTGGAAGCTCCTGGGGCTCCAATTATGTTGTTCCATTCTTTATAGTCTATCTTGGTATTGAGGTAGCTTCTAGAGAGAATTTAGAGAGGAACCTAAATTTCTAGATCCCTCTGCATTTCTGGACTCTGACTTCTGTTGATTTCCTCCCTCCTTACCTCATGAAAATTAGAAGCCTGCAATGCCCTGCAATGAACCCTGAGGGTCCTCATGTGAAATCTGTCCACGGAGGCGTCGTCTTCAGGAAGAGCTTTCCCTCTTAATCCCAGGGACTTTGTTGCTAACTAAGCTGAAGTTCTGGGATGCTAACTATTTTTGTTGCTGATCTCCCACATTTCATGATATTCTCTTATATCTGCTTTGTGCTGTTATTTTTACTGTTTTCATGGTGTATTTTTTGCCTCAGATGTGTTTTTGGGACTTCCAAATTTCTGTTGATATTCTAACTTTATTTAGGACTGTGAATATTGTGAATACTATTTTCCAAATGCTTTGATTACAGAATAAGATGGTTTAATTTTTAGTGGATGATAAATGAAACAGGTAATACTTTGATCTACAGAAACATGAAAAAGATAATATAAATGCCTTTGACGAAAATAACTTTGTGGTATTTCTCATTTAGATATACCCATATCCCAAAACTGAGTAAATTTTTAATTTGAAAATAGCTAAAAAAAAAAAAAAGTTACAAATGAGAAAGAATCTGAAAAAAGATGCATCTGTACATATTAGAGGTCACCCATTCAAAGTGGTGACATTTCCCCAATTGTCTGATTACTTTCTATCCTAAATTGGCACTATTAATAAAAATACTTTATTATTTTCTGTCCAGTGTATTATCAGTGGATTAAAAGGGATTCTTCTAAATGTGACCCAGCTCCAGCCATTTTTACAGTAGTGACCTTCGATGTGGGCTGTGCATGCATACACACTGAAAAATTAATGCACATCTTTTTCCTGGGTAGATGCCAGGAAAATGTAAGCTAACCACTGAAGGAAATATATATTTAAATTTAAGAAAAGCAAAGAGGTATAGTAATCTCATATCAGTAAAGCAGCCTGATATTGCATGATAGAAAAGTAAGATCTTCAAATTAGTAACCAAGATTTTTAAAAAGTCATTTTGTTTTCATCAAATCTTTTTGTTACAAACTAACGACAAGATGTTTTCACTTTGAAAAAAAAAAAAAACACTGAGTCAAAAAGCATTGTTGAGTTTATTAAGAGATTCTAGCATATTTTTAAAGAAGGTCTTCAAGCTGCTAAGATACATTTCATATCTCTGTGACAAATGCCAAGAGTGAGGATGTTTCAGATAAACCCTTTAATCTCCACCTCATGTGACAGAGACAAAGAGACTGAAACTCGGTACTTCCGTGCAAAAGTTTACGAGGGAATTTCACTATCCCACCGTACAAAAGGAGAGACATCCCCTCCTGGTTTTTTATGGAAGTGTTTGAAACACGGATGTTCTTAATTTTTTTCCCCACCGTAGTATTTGGTTGCAAGAACAACTGTAGTATATAGCATTGCCAGCCTTGTCACACATGTGAATTGCAAAGTGTACTTTCTTCTGCAGAAGTTACAACCATAAATAACTGGCAACATTTTCAGAAAGGGTCGTCATCCCGCTTGAATCTTCTGCAGCGCCGAGAGGAGCACAGTTGGTGTTTACTCACAGTAATTGTGCCGTTTTCTCTCACTCCCTGCCCTGGCCCCCACTTCACTCAAACCCCCTTCTAGGCTACTTTGACGCACATGCTCTTGCCATGGACTTCATGAGCATTGGATTCCGGGAGTGCTTAACGGAGGTGGCCAGGTATCTGAGCTCCGTGGAGGGTCTGGACTCCTCGGATCCCCTGCGGGTACGACTGGTCTCTCATCTCAGCACGTGCGCCTCGCAGCGGGAGGCTGCGGCCATGACGTCCTCACTGGCCCACCACCATCACCCCCTGCACCCGCACCACTGGGCGGCGGCCTTCCACCATCTCCCCGCTGCCCTGCTCCAACCCAACGGACTCCACGCCTCCGAGTCAACGCCTTGTCGCCTCTCCACGGCTTCAGAAGTGCCTCCTGCCCACGGCTCCGCCCTGCTCACGGCCACATTTGCCCACGCCGATTCTGCCCTTCGGATGCCGTCAACGGGCAGCGTTGCCCCCTGCGTGCCACCTCTGTCCACCTCTCTCTTGTCCCTCTCGGCCACTGTCCACGCAGCCGCTGCAGCAGCCACCGCAGCGGCGCACAGCTTCCCTCTGTCCTTCGCGGGGGCCTTCCCCATGCTCCCCCCGAACGCAGCTGCAGCAGTGGCAGCCGCCACCGCCATCAGCCCGCCCCTAACGGTGTCAGCCACCTCCAGCCCTCAGCAGACAAGCGGCGGAACAAACAGTAAACCTTACCGACCCTGGGGGACAGAAGTGGGAGCTTTTTAAGTTTGCATTGAACTTTTTGCAATAGTAACTGAATGTCCTTCATTTCAGAGTAAGCTTAAACCTCTGCACCCTGAAAGTAGCCATACAGATGTCTACAGATCCACAAAGGAACAATAAAGCTATTTGAGACACAAACCTCACAAGTGGAAATGTGGTATTATCTTTTCTCTCTTGTTTTGTTTAAGGCAGCTTGGTAACTGACATCAGCAACTTTTGAAAACTTCACACTTGTTTTCATTTAGAAGTTTCCTGGGAAATATATGGACTGTACCATCCAGGAGTGCATCAGTATGTCTGAACTGGGGAAGAAAAAAAAAAAAAAAGCCCTGACTGGATTCTCTTGAAACTAAATGGAAAAAAAATATTTGTGTTTCATAAGTGCCTGAGCTAGTAAAGTTTTCTTGTGAACAGATTAACATTGCACAAGTAAAGAAGATCATATAGGTTAGGTTAAGACAGGAAAGGGACAGAAGTCTTGTATTAGGCTGCAGACATTTTAATAAAATGCCAGCGAAGAGTACTCTGTTGAAACCAAGAGGTTTTTGTTGGCCAAAAGGATTGCTGAAAATAATTTTCAAGTTGAAAGACCTAGTTTTATCTTAGTTTTCTTTCTTTGTACAGACTTGCCTGCCAAATGGTGACATTTAGCAATGCATTGGTATAAGCAATTATTCCATCAGTGCTCAGATTAACAGCCATTTCTGCCCTGCCTGCAAGCCCCCAGGCACTTTTTTTTTTCCCATGGCTCAAAATTTGGTGCTTCTTTATGTAAAACCATACATAGAGTGCACCTAGAAGCACTTGCCTACCATGTGCCCCCCAGAAGCTATTTGATTCATGCCAACTTGAAAACTCTCCAGTGTGTAAAGGTTTAGGTTAATTTATTGTTTCATTTGGACTGTTTTTACGTATTTATCCTCTTCATTTTGTCCTGATAATGTGTAATACCTATTCTTGTCGCCCTTTGGGAAAAGCTGCATTTCTGGAGGTGACGAGACAGGGAGAGAACATTGGGAAGAGAAAAGCCACGATTTTTAAATGCTCTTTGTCAAGCTCATGATTGCATTTGATCCCAAATCAAGATGAATGTATGCAGTGGGATGTACATAAATTATTTTTTGTTCATGCCTAGACTAGTGCTGCATAACGGTGTTTTTTTTTTTATTTTTAATGACAAAATAATCTCTTAATACATTGAAATTGAGCACGTGAGATTTTATGTTTGAAAGGTAAAGACACAGCATGTATTATACGCACTTCACTTCTCTGCTGTGTGGAGAAAGCAATAAACATGAGAATGTTAAACATTATACAAAATTACACTTTTAAATATTTGTTTTAAAATTATTGTACCTAGTCTTTTTTGCATTACTTTGTAACCTTTTTCTATGCAAAAGTCTAAGTATCACTAATTAAATGAAGTCCTTTTTTTGACTATTTCTATGTGGATGAGTTGCTTTGCAGAATGGAAAGTTGACATGAATTTCAAGCAAGGCCTTCCTTCACTAACAATTTAAGCCGTGGCTTTTCTTTTTCTCTTTCAGAGTCATTTAATATAATTCACAGCTTGCCTGAAAATAGTGTTTATCTGAGCTTGTATATCAATTCAGCATAGGCGGGTTTGACATTATTTGGAGACAGGAAGTGATCAGTTTCCTCTGCCTTTTATTCTTAACCATGGTTCTTAGAAAAGTGCAAATACAAGAGCTCCAAATAATAGTACATTGAACCTGGGATAATAAGCTAGAATGTGTCATACATCTTGTAACTCAAAAACATTTGTAGAGGGTTTTTAAAACATCACCTGTATATGTGATAAGCATATACATGCTTCCTGATGAGAAATCCTCTGTACCTACCTCAATGAAACTTTCTTTTGATGCTATAGAAATTGTGCACATATCCCTCCTTCTTCAATAAAGCCTAGAAGAGATTATTTTAGTTCCTGAAGCTATTGGGCCAAACGTAAGAAAAGAATTTTTTAAAAAAGAATGTTTTTATTCATGTCAGTTATGCTATTAAGGGGGAAAGTGTGAGGTTTCTTACATTATTTTAATTTTGAAAAATTAAGTATATAGTTTTTCTAATTTCTGTCTGTATGTGGGTAAAATATGAGCAAAACCAGATCACTTTGTTCCTCCTGTCTATAAGTTCTGTGATCATTGCATCTTCTATTAGCTCTGATGGAGTTAAGTAACAAATAAGGAAATGGATTTAGTAGTATTTGAAGTTTGCTTTTGAGTCATGACTTGTGGACAATAGGCATAGAAGTAATTCTTATTTTAAGATCTAGCAGCTGATTCTGTGCCTGTTGTAATGTCAGCATTCAAAGAATTTCTTTTCCTTTTTTGGAATGTAAACCATTTTAGAGATCAGGAATTTTTATTTTTAATTTGGATTAAATAGTTTAAGATAAATCCACTTTCTTCCTCCTTTCCTCCCTTTCTCGTCCTTTTTGGTTTTTCCTTACCTTTTTTTCCTTCCCTGTTACATATGGGCTGTTATTTTTCCAATTAATTGATTAAAATATTTGCAAAACAACTTGCGACATAGTTGCTAAGGGGTGTCATAGTTCCTAAAGGTGATTGTTGTCTATAATTTTGGTCATTTGAAGTTAATTGGTCCTTGATAAATGTTTCACATCATTAGCTATTGACATCACATTTTGCTGTGTTAAAAAACAAAATTCAACTAAGTACATTTAAAGATCAAATTGGCTTTATTTAACCACTCATGAAATGGGCAGAATCCCATCTAGCAAATAGAAAGGAGCTCCAAGAAGGTGTACAAAATGAAAGGCTTTTATAGGCAGAAGGGGGCTGCAAAAGGAAGTTTCTAACAAAGAGTGAATTGTTTCAGGCAAGGTCACCTTCCTTTGGGGAAAGGGTGGGGGTCTGTCATGCAGATGGCCTCACTGGTACTGATTGGTTAATTCCAGATTGACTGGTTAAAGGTCACTGCAGTTTGGTTAGATATTAAGTCTTGGTTGCCTATGTGGGTCTCGCACAAGTGACTCCATTTTGAGCCTGATGTTTCTTTTTCACAACTGTGTCCCATCTCTGATACAATGTTCTGTGAAAGTGGTGTTCTGCCTTTAAGTGTGGTAGCTTTCATGTTTGCTCACAAAACAGAAAAAAAAAATAATAATAATTTTTATGGCCCAGGAGGAAAATAACTTTTAAAGTTTGATTTATTAGTGGCTTTTAATTATGTAAAAGTTAATCCCAAAATTAATTCAAGGGATTTTTCATAGGATAAAAGGAAAATGGTGACATTATTAGAAATTTGGTTTTCCCCAAATGTTAAAAGCTGTATGTATGCCCAATGTCAGAAAACGATTAAAGAAAACAATTTAAGTGATACAAACTTTATTTAACACTTCATGAGGCAGTCTCCTTTTGGAGAACTGCAAAATGGGGCAAAAGGAAGATTTTATAGGATAAAGAATAAAGAACAGGGAAGAGAAAAATGGAAAATATCTGATTGGCAGGGTTACATAATCAACCTTGTTTAGGGTGAGAAGGCCCAGAGTTGGCTTGGCATTGGGGGATTGACTATCTGGATATACCACATCTCTAGTCAAGTGGAACATTTATAGGGACTCAAAAGTTATCTGAAGGCCCATCTGCTCATGTAGCACTTGGGTAGGAGTAGCTCCGTTTTGGGCCTAGAAATATAGTTCAACAGTAATTAAAACACACTTTTGTATTTCCCATCAGTGAGCCAGAAGGTATTTATTGAATAACTACTGTGTACCAAGCACTGTCTGTACATGTTAAGTTTCGAATGACATGTGGTAGCACATGCTAATGTGATTCTATAGCCTGACAATTATAGGTGTGACTGTCACTCTAGCTATTCACAAGGACCCTCAAAATAAGGAAGTGCCATGAGAGTGAGACAAGAGGTTTCTGAGAACTAGTTGGAGAGGATTTTTGGTCTCATTGGGATATTGTACTATTACAAACATGATAATTCATCATAATTTGAATAAATCTGAGGGACTTTTAAAGTAATGTCCAAACATTATGACAGGCAGGGATACTCACCACTATACTAACGAGGAGGACGTTTTGTTCAAACATTAAAAAAGGCCAAATGTTAACTAGATTGATGGCTCTAATGACCCACATGTACATATGATATGTATCATAAATCTTAAGTCTTTTGGGTTATCTTCTTTTTATAATCAACTTGTTCCTTTTCCAATCATTACATCATTAGGTCACATCACAAAGCAATTTCCATAAGTAAGACCATCAATTGCAAGAGACAGTGTTGGTTTAAGATCAGGTGTTTTTTTTTTTTTGTTTGTTTTGTTTTGTTTTCTTAAGTTTACTTATTTTGAGAGCGAAAAAGTAGGAGTGGGACAGAGGCAGAGAGAGAGGGAGGGAGAGAATCCTAAGCAGGCTCTGTGCTAAAACTGAGATCAGTGCTCAATCTCACTAACCGTGAGATCATGGCCTGAACCAAAATGAAGAGTCAGATGCTTACCCAACCAAGGCACCCCTAAGATCAGTTTTTAAGGAAAAGAATCACCACAACAGAACTTTATCCATTGATCATAAGACCTCCCAATTTCTAGAGTGTTAAAAAGAAAAAAAAAAAAGGTACATCTTGGATTTGAGGCAATACTACAGTATAATAGTGTACTTAAGTACAAGTTTAAAAATCCATGGCTAGAGATGTACAGAGATTAAAATGTGGCTAAGTAGTTTACTTTAAAAATACCCCGGAGTGCCTGAGTGACTCAGTCAGTTGAGCATCCAACTCTTGATTTCGGCTCAGGTCATTATCCAAGGGTCATGGAATTGAGCTCCAAGTCTGGCTCCAAGCTGAGCATGAAGCCTGCTTAAGATTCTCTCTCTCCCTCTGTGCCTCCTCCCTGCTCACACTCTCTCTCTAGAATTAGAACAAAACAAACTGCATCAGGATAGGGTCCTAGTCAAATTAAGAATGTGGATTAATTTTGTAAGCTTTATGATCTAAAGATAGATGTA